GAAAGCACAAAATAATAAATTATCTGAATTCTTTCCCACGATGTGGAACAGCAGTGTTTTTACTTCCCACAGATGTCAAATGAGAGGCAGGCTAACAGGGAGACATGGTGACGGAGCGAACGGGGGATTAGAGCGTACCGGGCTCTGCCGGCAGGCTGAGGGAAGATTTACTGCAGCTGAGCAAAAGCTTCACAGGCTGAGATCCAGCCCACACATCCGAGGCTCAGGTGACTCATCAGCATGTGGAGAACAGAAGAAGCCCCCAGGTGTCCTGACTGCTACCTGCTGGAACGGCTGTCAATGCTTCCGGGGATGCTCGGAAACCCCACCCGTCCCGGGATATAGGTCACCAGAACTTCACTCAGAGGTTACCTAACCCAAACACCAAACTCTAGTGGGTCTTTCTCTTCTCCTAAAGTTTTCCCTCTCATGAACTTGAGGAGGAACACTCCTGTATGCTCCCTCTACACACCAACAACCTCTCATCTGACTATAATTATATCTCACTGGACAGATAAGTCCAGCCGTTTGTCCTCGGTCCTGGCAAAGACCAGCCTCGTTTCCCATCGAGGCTCAGCTGAACCCTCAGAGCTGCAGCACTAGCGCTGGTCTATACAACAGTTCTGATCCGGCGAAGCCGCAGCAACCAAGCAGCCAAAGCCTGGGAGAAATATGAGCTCATTAGGAGCTTGAGTGATCTGGACCGGGGGGGGGGGGGGGGGGGGGGCTGTCTGCACAACAGCAGCATAGAGCTAATAAAGCCCAAGGAGCCAGTGACGACCTCCTCCTGCTGAACATCAGGACTTTTGATTTCAGCCCCAAGCAATAAAAACTATTTCATCAACAGAAATAATTCAACTATTCACCCAACTTTCTAAAAGCCTCACTCCTTCACCGTCCATTCATCGTCTGTCTCCATAAACCCACACATCCATGGTTTCTCTTCACGAGCCCCACAAGACGGATGGCGCGGCGTCCTGGGACGTTCTTCTGGACCGTTCCAGCTCTAAGCTTCTGAAAAACAGTTTCTGTGCACGGAGTCCTGCAGCAGCTCTGCTGAGTTGTCATAGCAACGCCGTCTGTCCACCTTTAGCTTTTGTCCATCGCGGGTGCGTGAGTCTAGAACCCGTGTCTGAATGTGAAATCACGATGGATCGGATATTTTCGTTTCTCCTACACAGACCAGTTATCTTACGGTACTCCATATTTATTTCAGGTCTGTGTGATCGTGTTGTTCAGCTCAGTGAGTGACAGAATCATGATTAGGACGATTTTTCCATAATTGAACAGCTCTGCCAACTGGAACATCACCTACCGATTCCCGACTCTGTCCAGCTAACAGCAGCAGCTGCTTCGTCCCGTCTGAGTCAGCCGAGGGGTTCTGACTCACTCAAGGACAGTGGTCGAGGTTCCTGCTGTGAGATCATCGGGACGCTCACTGATGACATCATCCTAAAAGCTGGCCGTGTGGTGGGGTGTAGCGGAGGCCGTGGCAGCCCCAGACTGACTCACAGTGCGGTCCATTGTGCCTGGACAGAGCCATCTGAAATTCTCATCCCACAAACATTTTCCTCGCTGTGGAGCTGCTGGCTGTGCGTGTGCGTACATCAGCGTGGCTGTGCGTGTGCGTACATCAGCGTGCTCTCGTCTGACAAACTGCACAGGGCTGGATTCTCCATCCCACTCACACTGGTCCCTCTACAGGGAGCCATGTGTTTGATGTGAAACGGGTCTGCACCGCTCAGACTACACATGACTCCTGAGGCGGGACCAAAAACAGGCCCAACTTGTCTACAGGCTCTACCAAACGAATGAAGCCAACCAAGAGGACCGTACTGCTGCAAAAACAACACGTCTCCCACATTTTCAACACATTCATTTGCTAACCTTCTTCTTCGTCGGTGTTCTGCTTCCGCTTCTTCCTTGATTTGGAATTTTTCTTCAGTTTTAGCTCCTGCTGCTCCAGGATGAAGTGTGTCACTAAACAACAGACAACAACACAGGTCAGTATTAACAAGCGCCATTCTCCTGGGCTGATGACGTCCTCAGAAATAAAACAGGAATGAGAAAATGCTAAATCGGCGGCTGCTAGTAGAGCACGAGTAATCAGACACGACAGGGAGGTGCAGGAGGACAGAAAGGGGACCCACCCTGTAGTTTGGTCTGAGACTCACATTTCTTGTCACTGCTGGGCTCTGTGTGTCTCTGGATGTAGCCCTCCAGGTAGCAGCGGAACTTGGGCGAGGGGGCGAAGAAGGCCAGGCTGACGGCCATGAGTTCCCAACCTGCCGCCAGGCTGCGGGGGCTGGCGTTGCCCGTGGTTTGCCTCACCAGCTGCACGTACAGCTCGTCCCGAAGCCCTGGCATGTCCCAGCATTTGGTGACGATGAGCAGGGCGCAGTGGCGGCGGTCGAGCCGCGAGGGCCGGTCCCCCATGTAGGCCTGCACCAGCTTGAACATTTCACAGGCCTCCTTCCTGACGGCACGGTTACTGGTCACCAGCATGGGCTTCTTGATGGAGCCGCGGTTCCACGACAGCATGTTGGCGATGGAGACGCGGCGGCGGAACAGACCTTGTGTGTGCATGTTGAGATGCTTGCTGGCCCAGTCCTCCATGCCCATGTCTGGAGGTGGAGGCTGACGCAGCGTAGCGTACGAGAGCTGATAGGAGGATCCCACCGCTCCTCTTCCTCCCGCCCCATCGTCTCCATCTCGAGTGTCATGGTTGGAGGAGCAGCGTGGGCCTAGCGAAGCCGTCCGTCCGTCCACCATGCCTTTCTTCCTGCTCTCCAACTGAGCCTGTAGCTCTAAGGTACCTCCCTGCAGGAAAGGAAAAGGTGTCCATGTAAGAAGAAGAGGATGAAGAGTAGAGGTAGAAGATAAAGTTCAGCACGGGCCAGGAGAGACTCGAGCTGTGTGGAACTGCTGCTTTTACCCCGAGACACTACGGGCTGGAACATTCTCTACCCTGCAGTGCCTGGACTCCAGGGGCAACTGCAGCCAGATCAGCACATTCATTTCCTAAAGCCAGAAACACATTCCTGCTCAAATCCTCCTGAACCCTGGCCCCTGCAGCCTGAGGAGCACAGAGAGCTTTAGCCGACCCCAGACCTCCTGGTGATCCTTGTGGTGGTCCTGCTCCATCGTCACTCAGCCAGGAACAACAGAAACCAGCTGGGACAGAAAGCCCCGCGTGTGCGTAGGTGCCAGTCTGACTCATCTCTGACTCCATCTCAGGTGTGGGTATCAGATCTGAGGTCCAGACTCTGGACAGAACCGTGTTTCTATTTAAATCAGAGCGGTGGAGGTTAGACTCTGTAGAACGGGTCAGATGTCCAACAGGATCCGAGTACGAAGACCCACCTATGAACAGGGTATCTGCAGGTTTAAGGGAGCCAAACGTAACACTTTATAAGAGCTTTTTTAAGGCAACGTTGACCAAATTTAAGCTATTTTTTAAATTTAATTTAAGCTATAATTTCCAGCTACTGCCTGGAACCGGTGCTAACCACGTCGCGAACGTGGGATTAGCCATCCAAACGTGCACTTCCCCATGGCGCAAGCTCCCACTAGCTTAACCAGCTAATGTGCTCATTTAAAATAGCCCCCTTTCACAACCAGCTGAATGTGTACGGTTCTGCTTACGGCAACATCATACATGAAAAATGCTGAGCACCAACTAGAAATTCACGAAAATTTTATAGAAACAACAGAATCTTGTTTATTGGGTCTTTGGTCATTTAAGACCTTTAGAAACTGGATTTAAGGGTTATTTGTCATTTTTAAGGGTTTTTAGGGCCTTAAATTTGGAAAAGCTAATTTAAGACTTTTTAAGGACCTGCGGATGCCCTGTATGAACTACACCAGCAGTTCAGAGCAGACCAGGGTGGGGTGGGGCAGCATTTTCAAACATGTGACTCTAACAGTACAGCTGATATGTCTCTGTAGCCTCCCCCTGCACTCCTCACAGGCTTGCCAACAGCGGGCCATATGGGCCACAGCGGCCATCCTTCCTGACCGGGGGAGCCGTGTCCTGAATCTGTCCGGCCTGGCACAGGAGTCGAGCTGCCCACGGTGCAGGGCAGATGGACAGAGGTAAGAGCTGGGACTGTGGCCACCACCGTCAGCAGCTCTCCGCTCACCTGTAGTCTGACAACGCCTCAGAAATGTTTCTGCTCTGCTTGGACCCGGCTGTTACAGCGGCACAACTCACATGTCCACTAGCACGTGTGATGGTGGAACAATCATTAAACAACCCGTTGTGAATAAACCTGCCTACACCTTTAATGTCTGGGGTTTCAAATACAGGCTCCTTCATAGATGCTTATTATATCTGACAATAAATAAGCATCTACGTAACAGCACAGGAGAACGTGGTATTATAATAAAAAGAAGTACGATCCTTACAAACAAATCTGCAGGAGCAGTTTTGCTGATGAAATTAACGGGGTTGTTGTGAGCTAGCTAGCTAGCTGTAGCAGCTGGTAGGTCTACCTCTAGCCCTGAAAAGAAGATATGAAACAGCAGCTGCTGAAAGCTCCAGACATTAAAACACGGCCCTGATTCATGTTTTTGTAGTTTGGTTCGGACAGAGGTGCAGGATAATTCCTTCACTTCTCCGACCACTGATAAGCCAGAGCTAATGACTGACAGAATGGCCTTGGGGAGGCGTGGACTACTAGCAGAAGACCGAGATAAAAACCACCTAATCAGCTGCTGCCCCTCTACTGAGAAGGCAGGTCAACTCAGTGACGTGCCAGCATCATTAGGGCCAACCCTGAGCCTCAGACTCATACTAGCACCATCAGACTAACACTAAACACCACATTTACAGATGAACAGACCATAATGACTACGTTATTGGGGTTTCCTTTTCAGAGAAACGTTTAGCTGGTTGCATCAGATATTATGACAGAAGCAGAGTTAAACAGCTGAAAACATGCCAGGTGTGATTCTGATACAACACAGGAAACTAGAAAATCCTAGAATAATCAAAGCTAAAGTCAGGCACACTAAACTCTAGCGTCCTTCTCCGCTGGAGTGTTTCAAAGCAACACTTTTATTCCGGACAACAAATGTTTAGATTTAAAAAATGGAATCTCGACAAATAAAAACAAATAAGAAGAAACCCCTTCCTCTCAAGTATCTGGGTGTAGAAACTAACCCTAAAATGCATTCCACTAAAAACCTCATTACACCATTAAAACAAGGTAAAACTCAGTAACACAAGCCATCCACTAGGCGTGTGAAGACTAGGCCCAGCAAGGGAATTCTCTACCGCACACAGAGGACTGGGCCTCATCGTGAACCCTTCTAATCTGATGTTCTAAGAGGTCAGAGGTCAGACCTGCAGAAGCTCAAGGGGCAAATACAAGAAAACTGACTTAAGGCCACCAGACTAGACTACAGCACACTTCTTTTCTTTTTAATTAAAAGTGTGGATTACTGAAAAAACATTTTTTAATGAATATGGAGTATGAATAGGAGTGTTTCATGCAGGCTGAACATGAAAATAGTCTCCTACACCCATCTCCTGCATTAGCTTGTGATAGAAACAGACGGTGAAACTCTAGGATTAGAAAATCCTGACAGATCTACGTCACGCTGTCACTAACATTCATGGACTCACCCATCTGGACTCACAACGAGGAAGGCTGTTGTTGGTTTAGCGTCCAGGAAACAGCAGAGAACATCTCTACTAGCAGAAGCTAACTGTTAGCATTAGCAACTCCACCACACAGCAAAACTCCTCCAGGTTTATGTTATTTGTGGAGATAAAACATCAACATTGCAGACCAAACAGAGTCAGGCAGAGTCGTGTTGCTGTTAGCCAATCAGAGGAAAGATGTCCAAATATCAGGAAATAAGAAGCTCAACCCTAAAGTGGCTCACTTCTACCTCCTCCAACAGGTGCACCGGAGCTTTGGTTCCCCAGAGAAAGACTTACAAGGCATTAATTCCTACTAGAGACCACTGCATATGCATTCATTAAACATGTGAACCGCACCGTTAAACTAGTGTTATGAGCTATATCCACACACCCATAGGTGTGTGTGTTAGTGTGTGTGTGTGTGAGTTACCTGGGAGGGGGGTCCTGGAGTCTCTGGAGAGGACAAACTGGCCTGGCTGTTTATGCTCATCTCTAAAGTGTCCACTTTTTCATACGTCCTTTTCTGCCTGCCTGATATTTCCAGACGGGTCAGAGTGGGGTTGCCATAGTTACCAGTCCCCTTTAGTGATCGAGCAGCCCCGCCGACGTCCTCTTGTGATGGGCACCTGCCTGCTGCTCCTCTTCCTCCGAACCACCTGAGGGAGTCTGCAGGGGAGCGAGTCCGAGGAACAACAGCCCGCTCCCCCATCTCCGGGTCCAGCCCTGCTCTGACCTCCCTCATGGTGTTGGAGCGACTTACCACCTCCCTCATTTCTGCCATCAGCCTTTCGTTTAGTGCACACAGCTCCCCACTGCTGCCCACAGACCCCGGCCTGCCTCCCACACCTCCACCGGCTCCCACCCTCCTCCTGCTCTTTCTCCTCAGGCTGGGAGAGGGCCCGGTGGAGTAACCAGAGTCCTGATAGTTAGCCGTGGCCTGGGCCGTTGAGGAGGGGAAGTCCTGTGAGGCCTGGCTGCTCTGCCTGCTGTGTCGTACCTCCATGGCACGCTGCACCGTAGCCTCCAGGATTCGCCAGTTCTGTTTTTTGTCCAGTGAACTCGGGCCTGGGGTCCCCCCCTCTCTGTCCCTCACCTGGTCTCGAGGCTGTTGTAGAGAGTGGGCCTGGGGGTGTGGCTGTGGTTGGTTCATGACCGGGTCCTGCCTCGAGGTAGGAGAAGAGGCTTTGGTGGGTCCAGGAGAGCTGGAGGGGTAGCTCTGCTTGGGATCCACATTGACCATGTGTTTGATGCACTCCAGACCTGCTGGGCTGTAGTCGGACGCAGAAGGACTCCTCCGATGTCTGGAATGGGATGGACCAGGGTGCTGAAGAAGTTTAGCTTTCTGGAGACTTTGGGTTGGTGTCAAGCGAGACGGAGGTTGTCCATTGTAAAGGTGTGCCCCCTCTACCTCCATGTCTGTGGGGGGCTCATCATATATAGGACATTCCGATACTGGCTCATCATAGATGGGGGTGGTGCACCCGTACTGAGGAGAGACGGGGCACGGTGTGCAGGTGTGGGATCTGTGAAGGACTGGACTGGGGTGACTACCATCTGAGGCCACCACACAAAAGCTGCCATTGCTGGCTTTTCTAAGGTGATGAGCTTGGCGCGGGTCACCAGACATTTTTCCAGAGGGAGTTGTTTTATATCCCTGGCAGGAGCCCAAGTATCCTCCTTGGGCCGTGCTGCAGGAGTTCTGGAGGGTAAAGTTACTGGACTTGCTGTGTGCTGTGTGCTGGAGCGGTTGTTGCAACGCTGGGTCGGGCTGGTTCCGGTTCATGCTGTTCACCTTCACCAACATGGCTGCTTTAGAACCAGGTGCTGGCTGCCATCTTTGGGACACATCCCTGAGCAAGACACAAATGAGATACGACCTCAGTAAAGCGACGAAAGATATCTGAAACCTAAATAAACAGCCTGAAATAAACATACTGCACCATTTTATATGATTACTGCAAGTGTGGCGGGGCTGGGAAAATCTCCAGCAGTCCATAAATCCTTTCCCAAACATCTTAGTAACCTCTCACCACTCAAGCCCATTTTTAGTCTGCCAGTCAAAACAGCTCCCTCAAAACCGCAGTGTGTGTGTGTGTGTGTGTGTGTGTGTGTGTGTGTGTGTGTGTGTGTGTGTGTGTGTGTGTGTGTGTGTGATCAAGGTGCGACTCGTACGTCTGGGGCTTGTCCAACATAATAAAACTCAAGTGCACACCAACAGATCACAATCATCTGGATAAAAACGAGGTAACAGAACTCCACAAAGGAGGCTTTCCTTTAGATCCAAAGAGTTATCCTCCTCCTCCAAGTGAGCTACCAGGCAAACTTCAAAGCCGAGTGCTTGCTGCTAATCCCAGCAACGAAAAACAATCTGCCATCAATCTGGTCACGCTGCTCTGGTCTGCTGCCCTGAGCTCCGCTGTCGCCTTATAATCTTCTTCTGCAATCTCATTCCTCAGCTGATCAAAAAGCTGCCCTCTTAGACCAGCGTCTGTGTGAGACGCTGGCATTACAACACACAGGCTCCAGCCAGATGGCACCAACGCTGAAACACATGTGAAGCAGCTTCAGACCCTCTGGATTAATCTACCTGCTTACTTACTGAAAAGGTCAAAAAGGCAAATGACTAGTAAAGGTCAAGTGGACTTACCTTCCACCCCCCACCTGCAACCGAACATCCAATCAGACAGAACTGTATCAAAGCGGACCTTCCTGGTAGAAAGAAGCACGGACAGAACTCGTGTCCAACGGCTTCACTTTTCCCAGACCTCTATGAGTTGGGCTGTAACGGCAGGAAGAGGACAGAGGGAGGAGAGAAGGAGGTGGAGTGACCCCCCCCCCCCCACGCCTCTGGAACAATGCTGAAACAATTCCCCCGAGGTCCCTCACACCAACGATAAACTTCCCTAGTCCTCCTAGTCTCCCTCTCTCTATCAGGGCCCCAGTCTTTGCCCCCTCCCTCTGCAGAGTGAGTCACGGCGCCTCAGCCGTTTGAATGTAAACACAGCATCATCCTCACAGTCCCACAGATTTGTCCATCTAGCCTTTACAAGAGTCCTTTAACTAAAAACCTCCTTTACCTTGTTATTGTTGAATAAAGGCAACTTAATGTACCAAAGGTGTGTGACGCATCAGCCGCTTTCTACGTGGATTCGTAATCTTGTCCCGACTACGGAGAAACGGTTCGTTCTGAGAAAAGCTGGTTTAACACGCCATAAGTTTATACGTACAGCCTTACATTAACATGTCCCATCCCACTTCAACATCGGTAATTTCCTAATGTTGGCAGGCCCAGTGCCGGCACCATGGGTGCCCTAAACCGAATTCCATCCCGTTAGGGTGATCGTTGGACTCCCCGCGGGACTCAGAAGAGACTGGTTTGAAACCACATTATCCCCGAGAACAGCGCAGGAGACTAGGCTCGGGCGGTACTCTAATTTTGATCCCATCCAACTTCCTCCACATTGTACCACGGAATACGGTATTATAATTCCAAAGGTATGACATAAGCCTCAAGTGGAATTACTAAGTTGGCTTGGACATTCACCGTTCAGAAACTGGATACCAAACACTATTACTAAATCAGTAACATAACACACACACTATTAACAACTTAAAAAAAAACACAGCTTATCGTTTTCACCAGCGTGTTTACCTTTTCCAGCTTCAACAACGACCGACTGCTTTGCCTCAGTGCTGAAAACCAGCTTTGATGAGCTTGTGGCTCCGACACAAGTGGTCTTTTGGGGCTAGTCGTGACATCTGGGAAAGACTGGCAGAGAAATATGCAGTCCTCTCTTTTATTAAAAGACTCCAAACAGCTCCGTCACGCTCCTCTGCGGTGCCGACGGGGTACGCGTCTTCCGCCCGGCTCATATTATCTCATCAGTGTTTACTGGCTCTCCTTTATCAACCCAAATACTCCCAAACTTGTCTTCAGTTTTGACACCATGTCAGTTGACGCGCGACCTGCCATTGTTCTGCCTGTGCCTCTTGCTGCATCTCCTTCACGCTGTGATGACGTCACATTCATAAAGTTTGAGGAAGGTCTCAAAAGTTGGACAAAACATTTAAAACTATTTAAATAAAACTACGAATCCGTTTTATACATTAAATGACCTAATTATTTTTTAGTCCATTGAAACCGATACCGTTGCTATTTTTAACCCTCCCACTGTCCTAACGGGTGTGACCCCGGGAGGAAAGTTGACCATTGAGCAGGGTTGATGGTTTATCCCTTGAGGTCCACGTGGCAGGGGTGAGGAGTGAGCACCGCCTCACCCCTGCCATGTGGACCTCAAGGGATAAACCATCAATCTTGCTCAAAGGTCAACTTTCCTCCCGGGGTCACCCATAAAGACAGTGGGAGGGTTAAAGACCGTCTGTATATACGGTATTACTGTGATGCTGCCAAAGTCTACATGAGACCCTTGAATGAATCATGTACTTTTTATCTCTCCTCCTGGCTGGGATGATGGTGCTCAGTGAGCTTTTTCATAAGCCTGATTGGTTGGTGCACCCATAGTCAATTGGTGCCCTTCACACTGTGTGATGCACGTGGGCAGAGTGCCGGTGTTCTGTCGAAGACCACACAATGTCGGATTGGTATACCCATATTACAGGGCATGCCAGTCTGACAGGCCTGGTATGTCAGACTGGCGTAGTTGTAATCCTACCCTGCACCCCAACTCTTAACCTAACCCCAGTATGCTCCTCTGACTGGTATGGTGCCCTAATACAACACCAGCACTGAATTTTGGTTACAATCATGCTAGCCCAAGCTACTGCTAACGTCTTGTTGGACAAAAAGAAAATCACCAAGAATGTGGGAACTCACATGTAATGTACTGGGAATATCAGACTTTTAATGGATGCCAGATAGATCCAGTTTGCCTACCAAGTTCTCCAGATACTGTACACAGCTGTACAGAGTTTCTAGCTCAGGCAGGTTCATAAAGCCAATAGGGTTAACCGGCCAATTAGCACGCAGCTCATTCGATGTTCATGTCCTGGCTGAGTGGGCAGGGCAAACCAGTGTTTCCATTCTAGGGCTTTATTATAGGGTTGTGTTTGGCCAATTATCAGGGCTCCTGGGCCATTGTGAGCCCCAGCTTTATAGCGGTTCAAACAACCATTTCCAGTTGTAAAAAAATGTGGTTGTACAACATTTTTAAGTAGCTGGGTTGCGGTTACCTGGCCCAGCACCAAACCTCTGATGTTGAACCAGCCATCAGTCCCAGCCTCACCAAAACCAATCAAGACCATTTCCTGCTGTTTTAACACATCCACAGACAGACGTGAAAACCATCTCTGACAAACTGTCCCTGTCTAGTTGTTACAAGCAGGTGTGAATGTTTAGGGTTTACTCTGTGTGGTTGGGGAATAGTTGTAAACATGTAAACCCCTCTTTGAAACCGTGTAGGCTTTCTCACTTTGGTCTTGTCAAACAGGAAGAGGTTCCACCTCAGCAGGTGCTGCACAGCCGACCGTTTGGCACTGGTTTGTCGTCACAGGAAACACTCGCACACGAAACACCAACAATGTTCATAATTAGATTTCCACGCACGAGGACATTCCAGAGACAAATCAAAGCTTGCTTCTCATTCTGATGGTAACGTTGCCGTCTTTTTGAATACAACATCAGTGTGGGTTTGGTTGAGAGTGAAAAACTGTGGCGGATTGACTCGGACAAAAACAGTGACCACTCCTTCCTGTATGTGGAGATTCTCTGGAGGGTTGGAGAGAAGGCTTCCCCAATTTAAATGCAAACAGGAAATGCTTAATGTGATGTTCACACGCTGCATTCAGACTGGAAGAACTTCAGAAAAAAGTCCATCCTTCAGTTCAAGAAGCTCTAAAAGTTTCATCATGCTCAATGTAAATAATAATAGTTCTGCTTTATTCTGGGTATTTGTTAGCACAACATCTCATGAATTACTAGATGAATTTAGATGAAACTCTAGAAGGAACAAATAAACTGATTCACTTTGGAGTCAACGGAATTCAAAATGGCCACTATAACAGAACTTGGAAAAGACAAAAAGGATGTTTACGGATAATGAGCTTAAATTAGGTTTAATAGTAGCCAAGACAAGAATTGAGAGCTAACTGATCTAAATCTGCAATATAGTTTGAGAACACAAATAATATTTTTACTATTTGGAGCTGAAAATCGGTCATTTCTCTCAACAGAAGATGGTCTCACTTTAAATATTCCACCGTGTGATTGTTACATGAAGGAATGCAAGGCCATATAGACACTCAATATGTGTTATGTTATCCAATCCTTTCTGTGCAACAGTTAAAATCTTTAATCCTATGGTGAAATGTGTGAAAATGACGACGCCTATGAAGAGACAAAGGACTGTTCTGTAGGAGGTGCTTTGGTGCAGCAGTGCTGAGGAAGAGGCATTTTCTAAAGCTTTGTCTTTTGTTTGCCTGCCCAACCCTATCCCCCGCCGTTATGACCATGATCAGTAACGGTCCGACCCCCCCATCCCGCAGCATCAGCTGAACATACCGGATGCCAGAACAGGCTTTAAGTATGAACTGTATAATTTTACTTCAACATGAAAGCGGTAGCGTCTTCAATCTGTAGTCAAGGTCTATAATCTCATTACACACCAAGCCCATGCCAGAGAATCAGCGGTCAGGTAAAATAAACGGTTAAAGTTCTGAAACCAAGACGAGAGACAATGATGAGAACCTTCAGCAGCTACGACACAAGCCATGTAGAGGCGGTGGTGTTGGTGTGGGGAGTGAAGGGGTGGGAGAAGTGGCGGCGGATGGTGCAAGTGTGCAGAAGGGGTGGGGATTAGTCGTGGGAGAGTGCAGCCAGGGAATGAGCGGGAAG